ACAAGAGACCAAAAAATGCAGATGAGCTGAAGGCCACTGTCAAAGAAACCTGGGCTTCCATACCACCTCAGCAGTGCCACAAACTGATCACCTCCATGCCACGCCGAATTGAGGCAGTAATTAAAGCAAAAGGAGCCCCTACCAAGTATTGAGTACATGTACAGTAAATGAACATACTTTCCAGAAGGCCAACAATTCACTAAAAATGTTTTTTTTATTGGTCTTATGAAGTATTCTAATTTGTTGAGATAGTGAATTGGTGGGTTTTTGTTAAATGTGAGCCAAAATCATCACAATTAAAAGAACCAAAGACTTAAACTACTTCAGTCTGTGTGCATTGAATTTATTTAATACACGAGTTTCACAATTTGAGTTGAATTACTGAAATAAATGAACTTTTCCACGACATTCTAATTTATTGAGATGCACCTGTATGTAGTTTATCTTTTATTTACTCTAGGTACTCTTTGGAATACCTGACTCTGATTGGTCAACTGTGGCATTTAGCAGTCTGATATTTCCTAATAATGCCCTTATGCGTCAGAGAAACAAGGGCACAGCCATCTTTAGGGTCTGTGTACGTTTGCGTCCATTCGTTTATCGTTTTTTTTAACCAAGACGAGAAAAAAAACAAAAACAAGAACGGTTATTGTATTTTTAAAACAAATTGACATGCTGAAAGCCAACATTGAAATTAGAACCATACACACAAAATGTTGCCTGAAAAAGTAAAATATTGACTTCTTTTCAGATTTCTGTCTATGACATTTTGCACTTTTAATAAACATTTGAAAAATTTGCAAATTAATATAGAAAAATGTTGATTTTAACAAGTTTTCTTTGGCCAAATTAGAAGTAATGCTTCTTCAGTTGAGAACTAGAGCCATCTCTGGAACAATGCAGAGACTTAATACAAATATGATTTTTAACCCTTTAATGCGTACAATCACACCAGTGTGATCACTCTATGCTGGTCTCTGGAGTGTACAATCACACTGGTGTGATTAGAACGCTCAGTGTGTCACGTGATCAACTGCTGAATTCAAATCTGCTTTTGCGCTTTGGCTGGCGCGGATACAGGTCGGACACGCTGAGCTCTTGTCATATTATCACAACTATTACATATTATTGAACTGTTTTCAACCATATGCTTATTTTAGGTTTCATACATTTAAATAAACATAAGTACTAGTAAAACTTTATTGTCATGAAATTATACTGGGATATAATTTTGTCATAATTTTGTGTGCTATCTGGGTCACGATATCGGAGAGAACCATGCATGGTTGCTCAAAGCACGTACAATATATGTTGTGTTAGAGCGCTACACACGGCTTTAATATATGGGATAAATATAGAAATATAATATACAAATATATAAAATTATAATCTCCAGATACAGGAAGGCCCGGTTCCAGAATCAAATCACTGAGGGTGCTCTAGCCTCAATGTACATCTATATTGACATATTTTTGCCCTATCCATTTATAGTAACATTCACATATAAATGGCACATTTATATGCGGATGTCACTCCCGAACCTTTGCAGCATGTAACCTGTGACTGGTCCTCTTAGCATCATGCAAAACAAAACTTATTCAAATTCTGAATGGATTAGCCAAGAAAGAACATTTAATCTGCAATTGATGGAATGTTTTTTTATAAAACGTTCTTGTAATGTGACGTATTAACAAAGCTAGAACATTTTATCTGCAATATTTTGAGGATGTTTTGAGGCTGTTGTTGAGCAGCCACATTAGGGGAACGTTATAAGAACATCATTGAGGCCTGAGGTGGTGTAATGTTTTTTATAAAACGTTTTGGAATATTCTTGTGTTTACAAAGCTACACTCTAAATAAAAGATGGTTCTTTAAAGGTTCTTTACACGTAGAAACAGCTTTGAGTTGAATTACTGAAATAAATGAACTTTTCCACGACATTCTAATTTATTGAGATGCACCTGTATATAAAAATAATATTAATACAGATATTAATAATTAAAAAAGATTTACTGATATTAATTGAAAATAAATTGTAACACCAGGTCCTATAAACTTGTCAAAGCACAGTTCTTTATGGAACCTTGTTAAAAAAGGGTTCTATATAGAACCAAAAAGGGTTCTGCTATTGTTAAAAGTAGAAGTACCCAATTTGGTACTGTTTAGAACATTTTACCGGGAACATTTTGAGGATGTTGTTGAGAAAACAGATTATACAATGTTCGCAATAAAATATTAGCACAATGTTCCACAATAATAGAGGAAGAACATTCTCTCAGCCACATTAGGAAAATGTTATGAGGATATAATTTTGATGTCTAAGATTACAATAAAGTTTTTTTCAATAACATTTTGTCATGTGACGTGTTAACAAAGGTAGAACATTGCTAGAATGGCTTCTGCCTTGAGTGGTCAGCAGAAGTCAGCTGAATTCCAGCGTCTCGATTACAAAAATACAAAAGGAAGAAAAAGTCTGGCATTTGGCATCAGTTCTGAACTGTTGCCGAACGTGTTACAGGAGACGAGAAGCGCTGATTGGGCCACGTTTAAATCCACCAATCACTGAGTACTTTTCTCGTGACGTAAGAACATTTGAAATCGTCGAACGCGCGAACGGTTGAAAGAACGGTTTGAAGAAATTGGTATACAATGTTCGTGGTCGGAATCGTCTTATTTGACGGAACTGAGTACGGAGTCTTTCACATTCAAACGCGGCGGAATCGGATACAGAGGTGCTGGAGGATGTTTTACTCACTGGTGCAGTCCGTGGCCCAAACAACAAACCTTTCTCCAGGTCAGTGGAACTCTCTCTTCCACAATAATTACCACTTGGCAAATATTACCTTGATTTCAGTTCAACAAACAAGTAAATTTTAGACATAATATTGACTGTTTTGTTCTGTTTCACCAATGAAAATAGTTCCAAAGAAAGATGACAGCAGAAGTATTTCACATTCTCCAGTGCATTGTTTCAGTACAGCGTTTTGAACCAACCAATCAGTTAAATAAGTGAATTCCCATCATCTACTTCCGGTTTAGTGTATTTAAAAGTATGATTTTTTTCCTCAGCATATATTTTTTGTATATATGTATGTATATATATACTCAGCATATATATTTTTGAGTTGTAAGTAACATACCATGACAAGGGAACTATTTTGCTGAATATTTTTACGAGTGCAAATATTACCTTGATTTTAGTTCAACAAACAAGTACATTTTAGACACAATATTGACTGTTTTGTTCTGTTTCACCAATGAAAATAGTTCCAAAGAAAGATGACAGCAGAAGTATTTCACATTCTCCAAGCAACACTCCGCATTGTTTCAGTACAGCGTTTTGAACCAACCAATCAGTTAAATAAGTGAATTCCCATCATCTACTTCCGGTTTAGTGTATTTAAAAGTATGATTTTTTTCCTCAGCATATATTTTTTGTATATATGTATGTATATATATACTCAGCATATATATTTTTGAGTTCAAGTCTCGGCTCAAGGTTCAGGCTTTTCAAGCCAATGTCAAAGCATGAGTATTGCAGGGAGTATTGCTTGGTCTGTGTGTGACGTCACACAGACCAAGGCCCCTCCCAATCTACCTAAATGTGTCTATGTTCGCGCAAATCATTCGTGGTCCAGCCTCAGCTACAGAAGAAGTGAGTATAAGGGTTTTTTTATGCATCTTTGCAAATCGCCTTTCCTAATAATGTGCTAGTTATCAAGTTTCACGGCTAAAGTAAACAGTACTGCTCGTCACCCCTCAGAAGAGAGGGGTGGGGTGAGAAGAGCTCATTAGCATTTAAAGGAACATGCAACAAAACAGGTTGCTCTGAAAAGAGATGATTTTGACAAGGTAAAAAGGGTGTTTTTTACACTACCATTGAGAAATTTTAACCAAAGCATGTTATAGACTTTTCATTAAGACCCTAAAGAATCATATCAACTTGTGGAAAATGGGCATCCAATGACCCCTTTAAGAAACAACACAGGTTGTGTTGTTTTTAACACATACTTTTTAATAGTGTACTTATTGTAGCATTAACAAAAGTTATCACATGCATTGCAACATTCGAAGCAGATGTCATAAATGTCAGTAGACCGGGAAGATTTTAAAACATACAGTTCTTTCATTATTTCGCACAACCTTACCTTCATACTGTAGAAGACTGAAAAATGGCTGAAAAATGGGTTTGTAGCTAGACAATGGGTTTGTGTGGGTCACCTTAAGTGTGCCGGACACAAGCCAAGTGTTTGCGTGTCATTCTCATTTCATTGGGCTGACCACCCATGTGGACACTTGAAAAAAAAAACATGTTCCATGTAATTTTCCTCTACTTCACTGCTAACGTCTTATGATCAAAGCCTCAAACAAATGGCATTTCTGAATCTGTGTTCCATACACTAGTATTCCATTTTAAAGTTCAGACCTGTGCAGCTGCTCTAAAAGGATAAGTTCTAACATCTATTGCCCTCACATTGACACTATTTCATCGCTGTGAAGTAAAATCAAGGTTTGTAAAGCAGTCATCTCAACCAGTTCTTCATGCTGCACCTGTGTTTAAAGAGAGCACTGCATGCTGATTCAGAATGAACATGCTGTCCTTAAACACAATGCACAAAGTATTAAGGCAAATTCTATGAAGAATCTTATGAAAAATTTCCACCAATGATTGATATAATGCTGCAAATATTATTCTCATTCATATTGTATCAACACAACAAAAATGTAATTAGATAGATAGATAGATAGATAGATAGATATGGAATCACACCACAATAAATACCCAGAATTATCTGCTCATCAGAATGCAACCTGTAAGGTTTAGTAAGATTGTTTTTTTTTTTCTTTTTCCCAAAAGCAGGATTTGCTCTGTCTTGCAATCAATCACTCACCATAGTCACTGTCATAGAAGACGATGAACTTCTGCCAACGCAGCTCACCAACTAATGTCAACATGACATCACTTAGACGGACGGGTGGTCGTGCTGCGAGGGTGTATCTCTGTCCGTCAGGGCTTGGATTGAGTTGGCATGCAGTACGAGGTGATCCTTCAGCGTTTCTCTGGACGTAAAGGTGAGGTATGTGCATGGCATCTGTCAGGGACTGCAGAGCACTGGCTGAGGCACAGCCTGTAGACGTGACCAAGGCCAGGATCCCCTGCGTCATCAGTTCACATGCTGCAAAACGAAAGAAAAGATGGAGAACTGATGAGCTTGGATAGTTTAAGAGTCACCTGAGCAGAAACAATGGACATCTAAACACTCGCATGGATCTGCTGTTAATGGTGTTGATACACAGCACAGCTGAGAAACATAAGAAACAGATAACAAAAAATGTGTGGTAATTCCTGTAGAGTGGCTACCTTCCCTTTATCATCCTATTCACTTTGACAAAAAGCACAATATTCAGTGAAGAGCAGTTAGCATAAAATATTCCCCACATTTTTATTTTATTTTATTTATTTCTATAAATGAGTGTAAGCAGGGGCAGACAATATTTTTGAAGAGGTTATTAATTTTTGATGACTCTTTAAGTTGTGTGAAGTCAGTAAGAGGTCTATTTTGTGGGTAAGACACAATTTGGCTCTAAAATCTAAAATAATTTGGTTATGATCTTGTCAGCTCCAGCAAACAGAAAACGTTTTGTGCCTGGCTAAAAGCATTTTAAATGGAGAATCCCCATTTACTTCTGGATTTGAAAATCAGAACCGCATCAACATCGGAAGACATCACAACTCCGTTCTGTCTTTGTTTCATAATGGCAAGTCAATGGCCACTAAAACTTTGAGGAAGAATTATAATAATAATAATAATTTCAACTGTGCATTGCGATACACCAGTGTCTAAAGGTTACATCATGTTCATTTATTTGACATTTATTCTCTGCAGGCACAGCAAATCTGGAGTGTCACAACTGATTCTGATAAGTGGAAGTGTATAAAAGTTAGAAAAGTACAATAGTAAATTGAGTATTTAGGCATATAAACACCATAATAAAGTAACACACACAAGTAGAACTGGGCAGTATGATGGTAGAAAGGTGTAATTTGTTGAAGATTTTGTACCAGCACAAAATATTGGTCAAGCAATGTCGTTGCTTCAATAATATACAGTAGAACATTTTCATTTAATTCCATCAAGTTCCAAATAAAAAGAGAAAATATACAAATGTTGATATACCTTTAATTTGTAAAGTATGTAACTATTTTTTTCTTTTTTTTTTAATTGGTATTTAGCGTGCAGTAATTATTATTTTTTTTGACCAATACTGTTAGTCTGATAGAAAATATTCGTACCACCACAATTTTGGTCATAACAACCAATACATCATAAAGGAGTTTTATTTTTTATTTTATTTTGTTTTTGTTTTTTTTGAGCATGAAAGGACACTACTTCAGCATGGTTTCAATGCTAAATTGCTGACATTATAAAGGAACAGACTCATTGTCTGCCTTTGTATTAATCAAAGCCAATTGAGTTTTAATTTGACATTGCCTTAATTAAAATCCTTGGTTTTGTTTTAAAGTTACTTTTTTTTTTTTATCAACCATACATTAAAAAAAATATATAAAAAAATAAATAAATACAGCCCCAAATAGCTGACTGAATTTAATTTGTTTTGGCATCTTAAATGAGATATGTGCACTTTTTTTTTATTTTATTCAGCTACAGAAGCCATGCCAAGAAACAAGCTCCATGGGGACAAAAAAAAAGTATAGGCTCTATAGCCTCTTTGGCATTCATATCGCTCCTTTTTAATCAACGTGTTATAATGGGGTGATACCCAGGTCTTTCTGTATATTATAGAATAATGCTTAGTACAGCAAAATAACAAGTCTCATACGATCATACATGTAGCGCATGCTTTAAAATCAGTTGAGAAGTCATTATGCCTTAAACATTAGTCTTATATTGTTGGTCCCAAAAGCAATGTGTACCTTGAGGCTGAGACCCAGCTAACGGCTCAAACTACAATTAGAGTCTAATCAGTTGTCTAGACTGCCCTTTAATTTATTACTAGTCTAGTTTCAATACTGTTGGTGGTGTATTTTCCTTCCCTGGTATCTGGTAACCTCAAAATTTTGGCTTTAGTGGTGCATTTTCTTATAAAAAAGACTTAAAGGTTGATGCCTTATCAAACATACACTGGTTGTGATCTTTGTAATTATATTATTAAACTCAAAAATCTGATTTCAGGGTTAAATGAGGATAAAACATTTAGGTTCTTTGTTCTTTAAAACACAATTTTAAACCTCTTTGCCTCAGAAAACGAATTCTTACTGAAACAGGATATTCAATGAGGAAAAGGGTAGGGCAGGACTTGATTTTTATCCATTTGGAATTCATTGGACCATGAAAACTGGCCATTCGATACGAGAAGTGAGGCAATCGGTTGGACAGAATGGGCTGAAAATTAAGAGGGATTTGTGGCTTTGGCTGAAAAGGAAAGTAGTTTTAGAGGCAAAGTTATTACATTTTGTTGAAAGATTACAGAGACAAACATTTATTTTTCTTTGGAATAACATGCACTGATGCACTGAGCACAATAAGATTAGGGAAGGTGTATTAAGAAAGTAAATTAGGTAAATTTAGATTCCGTGTTGTTCTGTGGTTCTTGAGAAGCATCCAGAAGAGACAAAGTTATATTTTTGTAAAATACAAACCTCTCTAACAGCATGGAACAAAAAGAAAGAAAAATGTAATACAATGCCGATCAATAGATGGATGCATCTCAGAGAAACTCGGTTCTTAGTGGAGAGATATTGAAATGTCATTTTGAGGCACTGGCTAGAGAAGAAATCATGGCAGATAATCAACTTGCAGAGACTATTGACGTGACAAATACTAAACAACACTGAGAGCTCATTAAGTGCAAGACTGCAATGCCACTAAAAATTAAACTTTAAAAATGAACTTTTTTGCAGTATTCATTCATTCATTCATATCACAGAAAAATGTCACAGTGCATAACAATCTGAATGTACCTTTCTCAGATTTATTTCACATTTTACCATTATTAAGATCATTACACTGATTGAAGTACATTCAGTAGCTGTTGAGGTGCAACTATTGATTACAAGCAGAGTGGGGGATTTTAATATATAGCACTTAGGCCATACAAACAAGCATAAGCTGTTCTTCACACAAGCTCAATTTCACATATCACATATTTTAAAATGTCACAATTATAATGCAAAGCATGTATGTGTTGCATTCTCATATTGGCTAAAGGGACATTAGCATTAGCATAAACAATCATCTTCAAGAGTCAGTTTTACTTAGCAAGTCAGCTACTAACATAGAGGCATAACCGTCTGAATCTTGTTGAACAAGTTAAACTGTAGCCTCAGATGGCATGCCCATGGACCACTCACATTCGACCAACAGTCCATTTACTGACTGTCTGAGCACCAAAACTATGATAATCTGGGTTTACACACTTCTGGAAATTATGCCACATGATTTTTTAGCACATAGAAACCAAGTCATGTTTACAAAGTACTGAGTGGTTTTGAGCAATAACTAATTATTGGATTTCTTATATAGTTCACAGTATTAATGGATAGAGACCTTACAGATGTTTTGTAATGTAATTTACCTTATTGGCACAGGTGGCATTTACAGTCCGTATTTTCTTGTTTATTAAACCAGTAAGCATGGCAGTATCAAATGTCTGGATGACAATATGCATATGAAAATCATATGCAGATAAAGTATATGCATAGTAAAATGTCCCATTTATGTATGAGTTCTGGTTCCTTGAATAAAGAAAGAGCTGCCTTAGCATCCACACTAATGCATGATAGCACTTTGCCGCTTTAAAGGGGTCATGAACTGAGAAACCAACAGCATAGGCTCATTAGAAATACGTACCTCTATATACATTTCTGCAAAACAGAAAAACCAAAACTTACCTCTATGTACGAATCACTGTAGTTTCCAGTTGAGATGAACACTAGAGGCAGTAAAATTCAGACAACTTTTATGCCTTTTCATACAAAGTATGATTTACAGGTACAGAGTTTTGATTTATAAAGGCTAATTTTCACACAATTGCTTGTAGAATATTATGTTATGACTTCAAAACTGAGATATGAAGAGCTCCAGTACAAACCCTGTGAAACTTTAGTTCGACAAAACAGCTCAAATCCGCATGAGGAAGTTAAAATAGCACAGGTGCATCAACAAATTAATTTTTATATTACTTTTGCCTTTGTTAACACTATCAGGTAGGTTTAGGGTTGGGTTTGGTGTAGGGGATATTTCCAACATGATAGAGCATTAACCTTTAGCAACACTCCCAGGATATTTGAATTCTGAACAGTCGCAATATGTACCTCAAGCAGCATAATAAAAATGCACGAATACGTGCCTGTACCAACATATTAAAAACATACTGAACGTGTGTTTTAGTGCCACTCTCTGGACATTTCACTTTGAAACTGTCGCGAAACGTGCAGTAAGGTACGTAATAATGGTGTTGCAGAAATATATTTAGAGGCACGTATTTCCAATGAGCCTGGGTTGGAAACCAAAATCCCCTTGATATTTTGACATATAAGAGGACGTAGTACTATAGAGTATAAAAAAACATCCTGTAATTTTTAGAACTCAAAACTTTCTTGATAGTCTAAAAATAGCTTATATTTAAGAAGCCAGTCTGCCAAAATGACAGATTGTGAAATGTGCCACTCTGTGACGTAATAGTGTGGTTAAACCCTGCCTCCACATAAGAAGATCAACGTCTGCTTCTACATCGCTGCCTTTTTAGCCCCGCCTATCGATTTGCGTATGTAGTGTAAATAACGAGAGGCGAATGCAGGTCTGCGCAGAAACCAAATGATAAAGATCGCTCCGAATACAGCAAGAGGCATTGCTAAATTGTGGAAAAGCAGTCTTTGCATTGCCTTTCTTCTGATCCCAACAGATAGGAAAGAGTCGATGAACTTTATTTTGAATGAAGTTCCAGACTGCGTCAGTAAGAACTTGGTCACTTCCTTTTACCATGGATTCATTTACAAACAAGGAACTATTTATGCAGGATTTTCAGAAAGACTGAAACTAAAAGGCGATGCTATGCTGGCTATATTGAATCCGACAGTAATGCCCCACCATACAAGTGTGAGTAACCGAGTAACTGTCTGTTATTACAGATCGTTTTTATATGTATTTATGGA